GAGAGAAAGAAAGAAAAAGAATAAAAAAAAAAAAAGAAAAAGAATAAAGGATAGGAAGAAAGAGGAAGAGGAAGAGGGAGAGAGAACAGGGGTGTTGCTTTATTGCCCAGGCTAGAATGCAATCTAAAACTGGGTATGCCTGTAATTGTGTTTAATAATAATAAAAAAAAAATGAGGGAAGAAAATAATTAACAAGCTGCCAACCAATACTGAGGTTAAATTTCATGTATTCTACCTACTGAAGACATCTGAGTCACTTTCATGCCACTCACCTCTCACCACTGCAAGATGAATACCCCCTCTGTGCTTTCTGGACTCTGGGGATCATTTTTCATTTCTAAGTCCTAAAGTCTTTTAATATTTGAGAAATGAAAGGCACAGAGGCAGAGAGCTAGAAACTCTGGCCCTAAATCTAACTCTTGAGTTAAGATAAAACCTGAATCTCAAAGAACCGCTAACGGAGCCCATGGAATGAGTTTATGGAGAAGGGGAGAAGTGGGACAGTGAGAAGCGTCCTGCCACAGAAAAGACCACACGTGAGCAAGAGCCCTGAGCTCTGCCGGGACTCCAGGTCCACCACTGGAAAGATGAATGCATTGGAACAAGGCACTCACCTTTTCTGAGTCTCAAATAATACAAAGGACTGGGCCAGACAAGTGATTGCTAAGTTGTCTTTCCACTATGAGATTCTATGAGCTAATGATTAACAGTAACAGAAGGAAGATTATGAAACAGGAAACTAGTGGCCAGGCTGGTCTCAAACTCGGGACCTCAGGTGATCCACCTGCCTCTGCTTCCCAAACTGTTGGGATGACAGGGGTGAGCTACCGCGCCTGGCCAACATGGCAAAACCCCGTCTCTACTAAAAAATAACAATAAAAAAATAGCCGGGCATTGTGGTAGACACCTATAATTCCAGCTACTTGGGAGGCTGAGGCAGGAGAATCGCTTGAACCCATGAGTTGGAGGTTGCAGTGAGCTGAGATTGTGCCATTGCACTCCAGCCTGGGCAACAGAGTAAGAGTAAGACTCTGTCACACACACACACACACACACACACACACACACACACACACACACAC